AAGCATTTTCTGCCGGTAGTATTTGCTGAAGGAGGCGGAGCCAGGAGGCCAGCCTGGGCTACACATTAAAAAAAAGAGTAAGCATTTTCATTGAAAGACAAAGTCATGTTCCTTCTCTAAAGTGGATGGCCATAATGCCAGTAGAGGTTAGCTGGCTTCCTTAGAAAAGGTAGGTATAGCATTCTTCTGGGCTGAAAGGAGATAAATTTACCAGTGGCATAAGAAGAAATAAAAAAAGTATTCTTTACACAAATACAAAACTCCCACTATATCCTTTGAAGAGAGTGCCTAAGAAATAGCCAAAATAAACTTTAGATTAAAAAAAAAAATGTGAATATCTTGTGGGTTTATAATTTAATAGGTCTATGTATGTGTGTGTGTGTTGGGGGGGTTAGCTGTCTCTAAAATTTAATTTCTTCCCGTTATTTGAATTATGTATTTTCTTAAAAGTATCTTTGCATGCCAAGAAATTCTTAACAAATAAAAAAAAGTAATACTACAACAACTCATTTGTGATTAGAGTAAGAAAGGATAGAGGACAGAGCACAAACAGGTTAAATTCTTAAAATAAAATTATTACAGAGCAGAATCTCATTTATAAATATTTTAGCTCTTTAAAAAAAGTGTGTTTTACGCCAGGCGGTGGTGGCGCACACCTTTAATCCCAACACTCGGGAGGCAGAGCCAGGCGGATCTCTGTGAGTTTGAGGCCAGCCTGGGCTACCAAGTGAGTTCCAGGAAAAGCACAAAGCTACACAGAGAAACCCTGTCTCGAAAAACCAAACAACATCAACAACAACAAAAAAGTATGTTTTAGCCAGGCGAAGCACATCTTTAATCCCAGGACTTAGGAGGCAGAGGCAGATGAATCTGAGTTCGAGGCCAGCCTGGTCTACAGAGTTCCAGAACAGCCAGGGCTACACAGAGAAACCCTGCACTGAGGGGGGTGGGAGGGGGTAGGTGGGGGTTGCTGCTCTACAAATGAACTACACCTCTACACCTGTAGCCAAGTGGTTACTGATCACAAACTGACTTTTCTATACTAAGAAAAAAAGTATATTCCCAAGTATTTACCAAAGCAGAATAGTAATCACTGATTTTAAAAATTAACTAAAGCAATTTCTAGTTTAAAACCTAGATTTAGTTTTAACTTTTTTACTATGTCCCTCAATCACAAAAGCCACTAAAGTAACTAGGAAATCTGAGAACAAATCAAAAGAATCACTAGAGTGTGAATGAGTTATCAAATCTTTACTTCCGTAACGGGCTAGAAACCAGAGCTGAGATCTTATAGGATCTGGGTGTCCATCAGGCATTTCCAGCTGAAAGAAGCAGGACAGGCTAACTGCCTTAGTGTTGGAGTCCAACAGCTTCCTCTACACCCCAAGCACTGTTTTGACTATGGCTTCTGAAACACCCACTGCCAAACAAGCGACAGCGCCCTCACTTAGAGGCCAGAAAACGGTCAATACTTATCTAGGTGTCTGCAGTGTTCCAGGAAGGGACATTCAACACTCAATGTTATAAAGAACACGCCTCACTATAATATGAGCTCAGTGAGGGCAGTGATCAGTATTTGTTTTATTCGTATTTATTTCCCACGGCCTGTAAATTGTCTGACAAAGAAGCAGTGCTAACAAATAATTTGTGTAATAAAGTCCAGAAGGACATATGACATGTATTAGGAACAGTCAAAGACCATGTCATTTAAAAAGCAGACTAGTTAGTTTTAAAGTAATGTAGGAATAACTTAAAAGGAAAACTGTAATAGTTAATGACTCCATTTGTTAATAACTTTAAAAAAGTATATAATTATAAATTAGAATAAAGTTCAGAGACAATAATTGGATGAAGTGTTTTCAGGATTTTTTCTATAATGAATATACACATATAGTTAGGTAATTATTAAACCCTACATTCAATCTGCATACTATTAAAAGTCAACCTTTGCTATACTCATATACAAACAATGAAGCAAAACACCAAGACAGACTGTGCAACACATTTCCCAACTGCAAATAATGAAGGGACTTATCAGTACCCAATCAGAAAGAGCATGCTTATTACCCATCTAAATATTGGAATGGTAATAACTCTCAAGGCGGGACATCTGACATCCATCAATCGGATGGCAAAATGAAATCCTTTGAAATTAATGATTCACAGTATGTAGATCTTAATAGTGATAAAAGATGCTTTTCGTTAATTAGCTACACAAGCTCTACTTACCTTCAGATTTTAATTTTGTAAGAACAAAAATCAAGTAGTTGTTAAAATCTGGATATTGATTGAGTTGTTCCAGTTTCTAGAACAAACAGTAGTTAAGGAAACTTCTCTGTATAATCAAAGAAAGAAATTAAGCATTTTTAAATCTAACAATCAAGAATCCTTTTTACAGTATTTTTAGGCTTCCACTTTTTCTAAGAATATTTGCTTATTAAATCAAACTTGATGGTATTTACGACACACTAGTACTTGTCAAAAAAACAAAACCTTTGAGTTCCTTATGGCTATAATACTGTATCAAATATATTCAATGAGACATAAGTGAAGGTAAGCTTATGCACGCCCAATAAATCAATGCATTTTCAAAAACAGAGTTGATAACTTTAAAACATCCTAACCTAGTAAGTATTTAAGCACAAAAGACAAAATAATGAAAACATCCTAAAGAAATAAATGAGCTCAAGAGCTTTTGAGGAAATTAGCAAGATGGCCTTTTCTTTTCTTTTTTTTCTTTCTCTCTTTCTTTCTTTCCTTCCTCCCTCCCTCCCTCCCTCCTTCCTTCTTTCTTTCTTTTTGACTCATTAGTTCTTTAGAATTTAAAAAGGACTAAATGCCATTTGTGCCCATGTCTCCACACCAATTCTTTACAAAGTTAGTCAAATCAATTCTCTTCCATCCCAAGAGGACAGGTGAGGACATAAACTGGCAGGTGACAGTGACGTATGTGCTTGCCTACAGTGTTCTACTGCACCGAGAGATTAAAGCGTTTTCACCACAGAAATCTCAATCATCCAATACACTAGAGTATACTAAGTAAGCTTTATACACATCAGAAATGGCCTCAAAATGCCTAGGGTCAGGATGTAAATTCTAGCAAAATATACCTTAGTGAAACTCCAAAATCTAACTACTTTCTGCAAGAAAAGTCCAAACAAGGATTATTTTAGTGTGCTGATGTTAATAAATTTTACCTATATTTTTCTGAAAAGACTTATTCCCATACAACTTAACACACACATATATACATCCGTGTATCTGTATAACAGTCTTTCAGAAAGTGCTCAAGCCTATACAGAATAAATCTCTATGCTAAGCAGACAGAAAGAACAGGCCACCGCTAGCACTCTAAAATCCCTCCAGTCTCCCAAGTGCTGGGGTTACAGAGGTGGCAGGACCATGCTTGATTAATTTGTTCTTACTCAGAGAACATAATACGCTCTGAATATAAAGTATAAACTGTACACTGACTACTGGACTGGTCCAAGCACCATACTTGGTATACAATAGGTATTTAAAACAAGAAATTAAGCCGGGCGGTGGTGGCGCACGCCTTTAATCCCAGCACTTGGGAGGCAGAGCCAGGTGGATCTCTGTGAGTTCGAGGCCAGCCTGGGCTACCAAGTGAGCTCCAGGAAAGGCGCAAAGCTACACAGAGAAACCCTGTCTCGAAAACCAAAAAAAAAAAAAAAAAAAAAAAAACAAGAAATTAAAATACTTAGTCCTACAGAAATTACAATGCAATTCTGGACTTGGTTAATTTTAGAAACCAATTATTTTGTATAACAATACCAACATTTTTCAACTTCTAGTGATAACACAAATTAAGACTTAATCTACAGCGTGGTTCAGATAAAAGCTCCACTATACTCCAAACTATTTTCCCTAGTCTCAAAGGTATTCAAACAAAATGTCTTTTTAAACAATCCAAGCAGATCTAAGTCACTATCCCATCCATGTTTAATCCGGCCGTGTCATAAGCAGTCATCTACTGGAGAGCTGAGGTTACAGCAACGCAGTGCTTCTTTGAAATCCTCTAGTATCTTCATCTCTATGGTGTTTTAAAATGAAATAAGCTCAAACACCAGGAGCTTATTTACTAAGTTCCCTATTAGGTGATTTTGCTGCTTACTGAAAACAGTAACAGGAGAATTTGCTGCTAACATTGGAGACTTAAGTTCTTAAAGAATTAACTTGATTGGGCTTAACAGGGGTTAACTGGTTGAGATCTAGGAGTTCATTCTTTCTGGAGCCTGCAGGAGCTCTCCACCCGTGCACACCTGTAAATGCACTATCTTTCCCCCTGCAACTGTGGCAATGGGACCGCTACCCCGGCACTCAGCACTCAGTAACCCCTGCCTGGGGTAACCGTAGTCCAGCCTTGGGCCAAAGCTTTACCCCGCAAACCCCACTGGAGCGCCAGGGAGCCTGCAACAGGTGTTAACGGGAGCACTCCCGAGCCGCCAGGCTTTCAGGCGCGGCTGGAGAAAGCCCCGGGCCCTCCCGACAGTTCAAA